CTTATTATAGTGTATTCCCAAAGAATATAAAGAAAAATAAAGAAAAAGGTTAAAAAATCCAAACAAAAGTCACCTTCGATTTACTTACCAAGGTAAGAAATTTCCCAAAAAGTCACTAATAATTTGCTTACCTTAATTTCAAAATGAGAAATTTCCTAAAAAAAATTCCAAAAAGTCACCAACAATTTGCTTACCTTAATTTCAAGATGAGAAATTTTCTAAAAAATATAAGAAAAAAAAAGAAAAATGGTAAATTTTCATCCAAAAAGTCACCAACAATTTGTTTACCTTAATTCTAAGATGACAAATTTCCTAAAAAATATAAGAAAAAAGAAAAGAAAAATGGTAAATTTTCACACTAACGATTTACTTACCTTAATTTAATTTCAAGATGTGAAATTTCCTAAAAAAAATGATAAAAAATAAAAGAAAATGGTAAATTTTCACACAAAAAGTCTCCAAAGATTTGCTTACCTTTATTCCAAAATGAGAAATACCTAAAAAAAAATAAGAAAAAGAAAGGAAAATGGTAAATTTTTACTAAAAAATCATCAACGATTTACTTACATTAATCCAAGATAAAAAATTTCTTAAAAAAATGAGAAAAAGAAAGGAAAATAATAAATTTTCTCCTAAAAAGTCACTAATAATTTGCTTACCTTAAAAAATTTCCTAAAAAAAAAAAAAAAAGAAAAATTGTAAATTTTCACCCAAAAAGTCATCAACAATTTGCTTACCTTAATTTAAAGATGAGAATTTCCTAAAAAAAATAAGAAAAAGAAAAAAAAAATAATAATTTTCACAAAAAATCACCAACAATTTGCTTACCTTAATAAATTTCCTAAAAAAAAATAAGAAAAAGTAAAGAAAATAGTAAATTTTCACCTAAAAAATCACCAACGATTTGCTTACCTTAAGAAATTCCCTAAAAAAATAAGAAAAAGTAAAGAAAATGGTAAATTTTCACCCAAAAAGTCACCAACGATTTGCTTACCTTAATTCCAAGATAATAATTTTCCTAAAAAAAAGAATAAAAAAGGGAAAATCTACCTAAAAGTCAATTCTGATTTACATTTCTTATTTTCAAAAATTTGAAATTTTTTAAAAAGACAAGAAATATAGAACAAAAAATCTGCCCAAAACTTGCTTCTGATTTACTTATCTTATTTCTAAATGTGAATTTTCCTACAAAAAACAAGAAAAAGAAAGGAAAATTCACCCAAATACTAGTTTCTGATTTACTTATTTTTAAAGTAAAAATTTTCCTAAAAAAAACAAGAAAAAATAAGGAAAATAGTAAATTTTCACCCAAAAAATGATTTACCACATTTCTGAAATGAGAATTTTCCTAAAAAAAATGGTATAAATCTTTAAGATAAGAAAAAAAATACAGAAAAAAGAAAGGAAAAGGGTTAAAAAAAAGGAAAAATTTTTTTCAGATTAATCTGAAGGTTTTCTACCAATTGCATGATTTTTGTATTGTCCAATTGAAACATCGTTTCTATTGAATAATGTGTATCATCCCTTAGGGGACGATGATTTGATCGTTTCAATCAGATTGTCCGATTAGAATGATGATGTCGATTTGAACAATAGTGTATCATTCTAAAGGGACAATAGTTTGATCGTTCAAATCGAATGATCATCGTTCCAAAAGGAATGATATTGAATCGTTCTTATAGAACAATAATCGTTCCAAAAGGAATGATGTTGAATCATTCTTAATGAATGATCTTCATTCCAAAAGGAATGATTTGTATTGTTTAAATCGAATGATCATCGTTTCAAAAGGAATGATTTTTTATTGTTCAAATCGAACGATAATCGTTCCAAAAGAAATGATGTTAAATCATTCTTAATGAATGATGATTCATCTTCCCAAAGGGACGATTTTTTGATCGTTCAATAAGAACAATGATCTATCATCACTTTGAGATGATTTTTTAAATTGTTCTTAATGAATGAGTCCATCTAATTATGGAAATATATTTACTTAAAATCATCTTACTGTTAAGTAAATATTATTTGTAATTTTTCACCCTTTCTATTGTTATAGTTTTGCTTTATTTGCCTTGTTAATTAAATAGAATGCAGGAGGGCGTATATTCTTTAAATCCAATATATTTAATCAAAAAAAAACATTAGTACAATGCGCCAATTTGTCATTGTTGAATAATCTGAATTGTTCTTATTCTTTTTATTATGACAGAATAAATTAAATCCGTAACCTGAGTGAATTCCATTCAGATAATAAAGTCACATATCCAATAAATGATTTTAATTTTTTTATTTTTAAAGTATTCTTTACAAAAACCAAATTGTTCGCAAAAAAAATCACATTGACAGTAATGGTATTTTTCCACTTCCAATACTAAATTTTTTTGTCAAATTTCATGGAGCTTCCCAAGTTCGTCAAATGATATCATTTTCGAATGATAGACGAATAATTAAAATGTATGTGGTTGCTGAAAAATTCATTGATTCTATGAATTTTAACATTTTTTTTGTGATTTTCCTAATCAAGTAATACATTATCATATGACTAAAGTTGTATAACGCCCATTGATAGATAATGAAAAATGAAATGAAATTCAAATGGTTAAAGAATTTCTTAACCGGTTATTAACCGGTTAAGAATTTTAGGATGGTTCCAACAACTACAAGATACTTTTAATAATAAAGAGCTTTAATCCTTTAATCAATAACAAAAGTAACAAGAATAATTAACTGTTAACATTAGATTTATTATGATTATAATATTAGAATGAAAACGAATGTTTACGATATTAATTAAAGGAATACATTGTTAATTAAATAATATTTAATGCTCTTGCTTGAAGTGGTGCACAAGCTGATCTTCAAATTGGGCAGGACAAATTGCAAATGACCTCTAGTCAACTTGTAATCTGGGCAAGTTGTCCTTCGAATTAAAGGCATAAAAGGGATTGTTTACTATGAGGCGGCGTCTTGTTCAAAGTCCCCGGAGATATTATTATACTGCTTAAATAACAATTAAAAAAAATTTTTTTTGATATGTTTTTCATTTGAAATTTAATTTATTTTTTTTAAAAAATAACAAACCTTTTCTTAGAAATTTCATTCGCGGTCCAGTGCAGTAGCTTATATAATGGCATCAAAATACTTGGACATTGTAAAAATAATGTTAAAAAATAAAAAAATATAAAAAAAAAATAATAAAACTAAAATAAAACTAAAAATAAAAATAAAAATAAAACTAATACAAATACTAAAACTAATTTCTCCTTCTCCTACTTCTATCCCTCCCTTGTGATCTCAAAAATATTTGATATTTAAAAAAAATTATATTACAATAAATAAATCTATTTTATTGACGTATAACCCAACCCCTTGTGAAATTTAAGGAATTAATTTCCCAAAAGATCATCCAGAAGAAAATAAGATCACCGGACATTTGATGGCGCGCCTCAGAGTTAACTAGGTAGATAGATGGCATTTATATTTATTTATTTTAGTTTGTTCATTCCGAATTATTTCTCATGATAGGATTCGCATCTAGATCATTACATATTGAGCTTTTCTTTAAGTACACAATAATAATAATTCAAGATGTAATAGAACAAAATTCGAGTTTGTCATAATTCTATTTTTTTTAAAAAAAAAAAAATTCCGAATTATTATAATCTTTTTTTTTTAACATAGTACAAAAGTTAATTGCATGAAATTTTAAAGATTGGTATTTTTTTTTTAAAAAAAATAATAATAATAAGCAAGCTGAAAATCTACGATTGTAACTTAGTATATAGTTTAAAGGAATATGAATATTATATAAATATTCAGTAAATTCTTAATAAAAAGTAATTATTTGTAATTTGAATCATCAATTGAGAAAATTAATCGATTATTTTTAGCCACATTGTAATTTTAATTTTGTTTAAGGACTGGATTAAAATTGCTTGCTTGTTTTTTACAAAATTAAAACTTTTATATGTGAACTTTCAAATTCAAAAAAAAAGAAGAGATTTAAATTTCGCCAGTAGAGCTGAAATTAGTACATTGCGTATCTTCCATCACACGAAATAATTTTTTTTTAATTGCGGAAATCTTAAATATTTTATTAAATATGTCCCATGAATTTTTCTGCAAACGTTGAATACGAGTCGGAAGTGTTAAAATTCATCGATTGAAAAACTTTGTTATTGGCAAAAATACTTTCATGAGTTACATACTTAACTTGATTGGAAAAGATAAATAAACTTTCCAAGTGAACTCACCATCCTTCCTAAAAGGGATAAATGGGATAAATTCTTGAATAAAACGAGCCAATGCTGAAACGTCAAAAAATAATTGCTTTTCCCAATTTTCATACACAGTTAATTTCTTAATGCCATAATGTAGGCCAAAAAATTCAATATTATTACTAAAATCTTCAACCGTATAGTTGATTCGTATTTAATAATTAATAATTGACATTCGATAAATTTTTTTTTTAATAAAAACTTTATTTATATTATAAACATTATTTATACATTCTTGTTTAATACATTAATCATTATTGTAATTGCTATTCAAAGATGACCATACAACTCATATGACAAGACCAAAGAACATAAAGATAAAAACAACTTACATCCACTGCAGCCAGAGCATTGCATGGTTAGGTAACCCAAGAGTGACCCTTCAGGAAGAGGTAGAAGCCAGGCCTAGGAAAGCGGTTTTCTCGACTCGTAAAGGAAGATACCTAGCAATTTTCTCTTCTAAAAAAGCAGACCCTTACCGAAAAAAAACCACCTTCTCTCGAGTAGGTTACCGTCGACCCCCTTCCCGTCGCGCCTCCTTGAAAGCCCAACAAAGTTGGCAAGTACCTCTCAAGAATAACTCTAGCCGCTAAACCGTTCGTCCGTCACTTGTCTATACCGGAGAAAAAAAATAATATAATAAAAATAACAAAAACAATTACTGTAAATATTATACCCAACTTTGTCCTTCTTCCATTTCGCCGTTATTGTGTCTAATAAAATAAAGAATATTAAACGTTAATAAGGTTCAACACAAACATTTTTTTTTTTTTTTTTGGCCTTGTCAATATGAGTTGTCGTAAGAAAAAAAAGAAGGAACGTTTCCAGTTAATTATATAATGTGATTTTACCAACTTTGCGATCAAAAATGCCGATCTTCAACAAGTATGATAGGCTAGGTTCGAGCCGTATGTCGTAATAATCACAACTGACGAAAAGTAAAAGAATCTATTATATTTAAGCAGTGGGAATGAGAATGTGCTACGTAATTACAACATATAAAAAAAATCACATGATTGCAATTTTGATTAAATATTTTTTTCTTTTAGTGAATTTAGCAAGTTCATTTATATGAACACGTGCATTTTATTTAATTAATAAAAAAAAAGTTTGGTGCGATTATTTCCTTTCTACATTGTATCAATATGCTTGTACCTATTACAGAAAGAGTGATGAAATTTTAAAAAATGCAAGAAATTTTATGATGTTCCGAGACCTTTTAAACACGATTCAAGTAAAAAGGGGAGATTTATGATGCTTCTTCTTCGTCATCACCTTCTGGTCGTGGAGCTTTTCAACTATTAAGATTAATGATTCAAATTCATAAATCATTTCATCAAAATTTATTGTTAAAAAATAAATAAATAAATAAATAAAATAAAATCAGGTTTTAAAAGTTACCTTTCTTGGATCTTTTTGGTAATAAATTTTGATGAATGTTGGGCAAGACACCACCTTGAGCAATAGTAGCTTTTCCAAGTAATTTATTCAATTCTTTATCGTTACGTATAGCCAATTGAATATGGCGAGGAAATATCTTTGATTTCTTTTTATCATGTGCGGCTTTACCAGCAACATCTAGTATTTCCGCTGTTAAATATTCAAGAACTGCAGCAAGGTAAATAGGTGCTTCAGAACCGACGCGACGCACGTAATTTCCATTTCGAAGATAACGATGAATACGTCCAACTGGAAAAAAAAGACCAGCCTAAAGGTGAATTGCAATGTAAATGAAGAATCAATATCTTATTAAATGTCAAATATAAAAAATAAGAATAAAGATAAAAATAAAAAAATACCCTTGAAGATCTGGAAAAATTATTTGCGACCGGTACATTATTACCCATACCTTTCCCAACACTGTTTACAACTTCAGTTGATTTGCTTTTGTCCATGCTTTTAACACTAGTGCTAGCCATCTTTTCTTTTTATTTTTTTGAAGGTTTAGTACAAAAGTTTGTTGAATAAGAACTTTTACTTTTATTGAGAAAGAAATTAACGCGATAAGGGCAAGTGTTTCAGAAAAAAGAATAGTATTTATATTTCCAATTTCCGCAGTAATAATTTATGACGTATATTAAAGTTTGTGTCCGATCTTTGTCTAATTATTAAAAAAATTAAATCAACCAAAACGTGAGAATTTTTAATAATTAAGCACATCACATGTCTGTAATCAATTTTTTTATAAGCCCGCACAATTAATTGGTTATTTTTTATTAGAAATAATTTTTAGATCTTTAGAATATCATCTTTAGATTCATGAGGATTGCTTCATAATTATCATAATTAAATAATTCGTTAAATTTTATCTTTATCTAACATATTGCTGATGTAACTTTTTTCGCACCATGACTTTCACACAACTTTACACAGTTTTCATGCATATCTTTTTGATTAAGGAGACGTTGCTTTTTGATTATGGAAGTTATATAATCTGGTGATTTCTGTAAAAGAATCCTCAATGGCACCCTGATTCAAATCACATTATTTATTACAGGCGCGAGAATTATTCGTTCTTTGTTATGAAAAAATTGAGCAAGTACTTACTTTGCTTCATTCACAATCTCAATATATTCTCTTTGTTGTGTTTCTTTAAATAAAATAGCTGCATGACAATGCCTACATTTATCACGTAATGAACTATTCCATAAATATTCCTAACATGAACATTCACCAGTAATAATATTACATATTTAAAATTCTGAATCTAGCTTTATATGCTCTGACAATAAAGACTTCATAAGAAAATTGATCATGTGGGTGGTATTCTATTAAAATTGAGGTACGAAACATAGTAAATCATATGATCCGTACCTCAATTTTAATAGCACACCACCCATGTTATTTAATTTTCATATAATTTTATCATATAAGTATAGTATAAAGGTTGATTATCATATGAAGATATTAATAAATTATTGGATTTTTTCTTAATAAAAAAATATTTGGATTCAAAGGTTTTTTAACCAAATTAAGAAGAAAATCCAATCCTTGATTTAATCTTCGAAGCTTATCAGAATAAATCATTTCTTCAGTTTGTTAAAGTATTTAAAGATTAATCAATTTAAGAATATTTATTATAATTATATATTAAAACAAATTTATTACCTGTTCAATAGTTTGAGTATTAAATAAAGTAACCAAACCAGACTCAAATCTATTTAAATCTTTATAATTTATTACAGTTTCACTTTGAAATTTAATTCCATACATTCTCTCAACAAATGTTAATAGTATTTATTTACCACTATATACAGTTTCAATAGTTCAATTAATTCTTTCTGTATAGTTGTTTGTAGTCCTTGGCAATCCATCTGTTATATTGTTAGAAATGCAATTTGCATCTATAAAACTCATCCACCATTCAGTGCACATCCAATTATTTGATAGATCATCTACTAGTTTATTTTTTTTTCAATTGAAAGAGAGTTTATAAATCCATTGTATAATTGAACCATTTCAATTGCAGATTCTTTCAGTTCAACAATGACCTACAATTTTAAATGCTAATATAATAGGATATCTAAATTATTTAGTAATCAACTTTATTAAAAAATAAGTTAGTATAAGTTACTTATTTAAATTTTGCTAATATATACCAATTATTCAAATTTTAGCCAAAGGTTTTCATAATGTGAAATTAGTTTATATAAAATAAGTTAAATGGTAAGTTTAGATTATCTATGCTTATCTATCATAATATATAGTTTCAAATTACTATTTTGACATTCACAAAGCCATTGAAAACCATTTCTAGATAAGAGATCTTCATAGTACACTTGTGTTTCCAAAATTAATTATCACACAGAATATTTTTTTTTATAGTATTAAGAGCCAATTTTATAGACAATTTTTTTTCTTATTGCATAATACCATAATATTTTATATTTATTAATAATAATAATAAAATTATATATATAATTAAACTTTACTTACCATATACCATATGCATTAGGTAAATTAGGTAAACTATAAACAGTATTGTTTTCAATAATAATTGATAATATTAGAGCACAATCTATATTTAAATCATATTTACCATCTATTTAATATAAACTTTATCAGAATCATAAGTATTTTTTAGCCAAATTTGTCAGAAAATGTAAACTAATAATATCAATTAGGTGAATTGGCTATCTGATTAATGTCTGCTATCTAATAATATAATATAAAGCCTTAAAGTATTAATGTATTATTTATTAAAGAATCAAGTTGAATCCAAGAACCAGTATTATTCTTTAATTTTTATAATCCCTAATAATAAGTTATCAGAATTTATTATTATCACAACTAATAGTTTTTTCTGAAGTATCATTAAATAGTGTCAATGTCTATACTTTGATACCTTTTGCGATCCTATAATCAATTTGTTTACTAATAGCAATTGCAATTATATCTCTAACTGCATAAGTAAGATTTATGTATGAAATTTTAGGTATAATATTACTTAAAGAATGTTGAAGTGGATGATAAACTCCTTGAATATGAATTCATAATGGTATTTCAGATTTTAATCAAGATATTTAATATTCTAAAATAACTGAAACTTTACAAAGATGTATGTTATTTCCATTTCTTAAATTGTTAGGTAAAGTTTAATTTTCACAATGTATGTTATACCTTTCTGTACAATCACATAATTTCTGACAATCATTACTATTACTAAAATAATACATGATCTAATACTAATACAATTAAACTTAGCTAATCCTAAATCAATTTAAGAAACCAATTCTCTTCCTAAATTAGTTAAAACTAAAACTCATTCATACGATTTGTTGATTTTATTATTCCAGCTTTTGTTTTTCATTCTAAATGATCTGCTGCTTCTTTTATAATTAAAAGTCCAGCTTATATAAGTTTAGAAGTTACTTATCTACTTTAATTTATAAGTGATAATTTTTTAATATCTGTATATTTGCTAGATACATTCTGCAGCATGATTGAATGATAAATTTACTGAGCTATCTAAGGCAATTAGATAGATGATTATTAAAAGCCCCTGTAAATGGAAATCTTTTGAAAAAGTATATAAGTAGGGATGATTGAACTCCTGTTCCATAAAATATCATAAGTTCTTACACAAAAATTCTTGAAGACCTTCATCAAACTGAACCTATATATCCAACGATAATGCCACCTTTTCATTAACAAAATGATACAACATTGCAACAAATAAATTCTTTGTTGAGGCAACTCTGAAGAGCTAAAAGTTTAAGAAATCGAGTAGAAACTATGATAATTCTTTGGTATCTAGGAGAAGTAATTGAAACCAAAATGACTACTCCTGCAGAATGGACATAATGTATGAATCTCCTTACGACATACTACTAACAAACTACATTATGAGTTTACTACCTTTTTGAATTGGTTGAGATAGAACAAATACCAAGGACTAAATATATATCAGTTGGAATACTCTCTAAATTAAGCTGATCACAATATCAATAACTTGTATAAGAAGCTGGTATTATCATAGAAGCTCGGATATTGGAGAAGAAAGTTATTAGTAATAGTCTAGTTATGACGTATTAGTACTGCGCTAATTATAATTAGCGAATAATGATTCCATTGATCATGGATCTCAACTTTCTTTAATTTCTATGATTTCTATAATTTCTCTAGTTTCTTAGCGATCTTAGTGATCTATAATTTCTTATATATCTTTAATTTCTTATTTTTCTTTATTATATTAAATATCTATTTCATTGATGTATTTTATATAAATATCTTGTATTTCTGCCTCAATAAATGGCAGAATCGCTACAATTCTCTAATAAATCAATAACATTTATCTCTTAACAATTATATTTTTGCTCAATATACAATTTTATACTTCTTTAAATCTATATTAATAAAGACGATCTAACCCTTCAACATAACTAATCTGTGTTTATTTCTTCATAGTTTAGACGTACTTAAATTCCCTGTTAGCAAGTAATCTTAGTTAATTTAATGATAAACCGTTTAAGTTAACAACGAACATAAAAAATAATTAAAAAAATTGAACTGCATCTTCTTGATACAAATTTCTATTATTTATATTATATTTTCCTATAATTTTTACTAATTTTATTATTTTTGGAATTTCATTTAATGATTTTAATAAATTTGTATTACTTGTTTTGATCTTCTTCTTTTTTCTGTAATTTCTTCTTATAATTATTATTATTATAGTACCTTTATATTACATAAGCTTTCATGTAATAATGCTATTCAAAACCTATTTTAAAGTATAACTTAAAAATTTAAAAACTATTTCAAAACCTTTAAAATGACTTTTTTTAAATCTAAAACTTGATAAAACTTAATTGAGTTTAGGAAAACTTATTAGAAGTTTAGGTAAAGATATTTATTATAAACAAATAGTTTTATCTCAAACATCTTGAAACTCAAATTTTCTAAAAACAGTTTAGGGAAGACCTTTACTTTCATGTAATATAAATCATCATTTTCATATCTTTTTATGTAATTTTTTTAATATTTTTGTGTTATTTTATTTTATTTTCTATCTTTCTATAAGATTTTCTGTTCAGTTTATTAATTATCTGACTTTTTAACCTTTTATTCAATCCTTCAGATATTTATTACTTTGGTAACTAATTTATCTAATTTATTTATTTCTGAAATTTATGTCTTATGTTTTTTTTAGTTTGTAATTTATCTATATATTTTTCTTTCTTTTAATAAATAATTATTCTTTCTTTTATTACATGATTTACCTATAATTTTTTTTATTAAATTTTTATTAATTCTTAATATTCATATTGTAACATCATAAATTATAAAATTATTAACTCTATACTAGAAAATATAATTGTTAATAATATTGAAATAAAAAATGTTGATTTCTTTTTTGCATTAATTTTATCAAAAGATTTTATTTCACGATTTCTTTATTTTCTATTTTATTTACTAT